TTAGGCAACGTAGAGCCTTGCAGTCAGATTGCCATCGTTCTGCAGCAAATTATAGTTACTCTTTCATGTGTTAGTTTGCAGCAAAACTTTACTTGTAGATAAACACTTGGATGCACTGCTTTGACCAGGCGTGATCCTCAAGTTAATCACCTCATCAGGTAAAGTAAGATTCACACAGGTTTGTCATGTTCGGTCTTGAATTATCTGTTAAACAAAGTACTGCTAAAACATGTAATCAATACCCCAATCTTTCTAGATTTAAATTTTCTAAAATCATGCAGAAACATAATTTCAAACTTTCCGTTGACATTCAGCGTCGATAAATAATGGGGTGCCATTACTCACAGGACTTTTTAACTGAAATAATCTATATGTTGAAATGACAACCAAGTGATTGAACTTCTACACGAGATGAGTACTTTCACACTTGAAAGTGGCCTGACTGGCATGGAGCAGAAAAACTCCTTTTGTCAGCTTTATGCTGGTAACAAATCAGTAGTAAGAGCAGTAACGAATCTCACTGCCCGTGACAATGCGTGTCTCTCATATGACAGTTCTATCGACATATAATGGATTTGTCTCTCCACATATTAAGGATTTTATTCTATTTGTTTCTACGACATGTGCTTTCCTCATATGGTTGATTTGTGAAATGTATGTGATATTAAATTAATGCAAACTTCACTTCACCCTTTACAGTACTGTAGTAAAGGGTTTGCTCAGTATAATTCACTGGTTATTGCATGCCTGTCACCAAGGGTCTTTTAAACCGCAGCCTGACACATGAAAGGCAGGAGAGTCAGAGGTTTTATAATTTGGCCATGACCTGACATTCAGAGCACCCCCAGCGCCGGTGAATACATCCAGCCTGTCTTTTTCTGCAAATGGGTTGCACTTCCCTGGGTTTTCTAATAGCTGCTGTATCAGGAATTGGTTATAGAGTCACAGACCAGCACTACTTACTGTAACCTTTTAGCACAATACAGTATGTAAGAGACCCACAGTACAAGGCAGGGGGTGGTGCTATCAGTTACTCTTAAACTAGTGTCTTCATCAACATAATTTTAAAATTAAAATTCACGTAAACTGGGATTGTTGACAACTCTTTTCTTTTTTTCAATGCTTCTAATATACATTATATATGTAAGTCTGCATTTATTCCAAAGTGAATAGGAATATGTCATACTTTTTGATTTAATATCCTTTGTGGGCACTCAAGATTCCAAACCTGTCACCACCGCAATACAGAACTTGTACTGCTAATGGATGGGTAGCTTCTGACTGTAACAAGCATGTCCTTTGAGGGTTTGACTGGCCAGAAATGATGACAGACTGTGTTTCCTGGCTACTGTAGCCTTTCTCAAGTTGTTCTCTGTGTAATTATGGCTCTTAAATTAGGAGCCAAAGAGAGGAGACGCACATATCAATCTCTGCATTACGTCTGAGTGTGGAAGAGATTACATGAAGCACTTTGTCCTTTCTCGCTGTGGAAGATTTGTAAAATGCAATAAAAAAAATATTTCATTTCAAGGATAAAAATACATAAGGGGGAAACAAGTCTGAAGAATACAGATTTAAAAAAAAGTCAGAATCCAGTGGCTGATGTGAAACTCACCTACTTGAATCTGGTTTACATCAGTTGTATCTTCCTCTTCTGCACTTCAGAATGGTTTTGAATCTAAACCACAGTGTAGTTGCAGAGATTTCTCAAGTACATATTGTGCTTTAAATAGAATCATTCTGTTGCATTGGGATATTCACTGCTGTCTTGCATAAATGTGTTATGACAAACTTAATAGACAGAGTGACTGCTAAATACTCGCACTCTTTGTCTGTGTCTGCAAGATGTTCTGCAGTGGTGTGAAGCTGAAAGGCAGCTGACCCACATTAGATCGCAAAGTGATTTAACACTCCGCAGTTTCAAATTCTTCCAGCTTGTTTCATTACCATGCCTTGCAGGCCTGTCCTTAATGATCTTGTGATGAAATGTGACACCCTGTGAAATTCCCCTGTTTCCTTGATGGGTAATCTCCTTTATCAAAGTTTTTTTTGCTATAAAATATATGTTTTATAGAAAATATATAAATATATTTAAAACATAATATACAATATTTATATTAAACTATATATAAAATATATATTTTAGAAGCTCCTATGGCCCTTGTGATCTGAGTCAAAGCATTAGACATTTCTTACAAATGATCAGTTTCAACTTCAGTTCCCGTCACATTTAATAAAATGAATTTATTTAAATCAAGTGGTTACAGAGTAAGGAAGGACTTGATGTGTAGAACATTAGACAGTTTAGCACCTGTGTTTGTACAACAGATGAGGGTATATGGACTGGTGGTGAATTTTGGAGCTGGGATGTCTAGGGGCCCTGTGTGTGTGGGGAGTTGGTTAAAGTTTTAGAAACAAAAACCCTTATTAATCTGTCACGTCACCCTGCATCTCCCCAATAGATCTTCATTTCTAGACAGAAACAAATATGCAACCCAGATGGTACACAGGTGGTCTTCGGAGACCCCTAGCTCTCAGTGATAAATCTTGCCATGTCATCGAGCAGCCAGAAGTCTTTATTCAAGGCAAGAACCGCAGTGGCCTTGATGAATGAGATATCAGACATCTCTCCAATGTTATGAGCCATAATGCCCATGCACATATTTTCTGATAAACTGGGAGGGCTAAATTACTTTTCTTTGCTTAGGATTCTTCAGGCTCTCCGGACTGTCTCAAAACAATTTCATTGTTAATGGGACACTTTGCCATTTGCGTGAAACAATATGTTATCTTAAATAATTGAATTTTGAATTATTTTTTTTTTTGTCTCAACACATTTGATGGTCTGATAGAATTTATTTCTAACAGAAAATCATTTTTATTTTGTGAAAAGTCCTACAGTAACATTCGGTTGATTGAACTCCAAAAAATTGAAATGATAACAGAATATTTACAGTGTTAGGCTTCTTTTCCCAGTTAAATGTTCCCTGTTAAAGAATTAATGCATGAGTGAAGGGCTATTTTTCACATGTTTTGGCATACTAAAGCCCCACTGTGCCTTATAGAAGAGAAGGGTGGAACAGTGTCTCTCATTGAGCTTACAGGTACAGCCACATAAGTAGCTTAAGATGAGATGGAGCCTTCTTTAAACAATGCAAAGGAAATCCCGGTCATTTGACATGGTTAACACAACCCTGGCTTGAAGAAACAGTGTGTGGATCAGAGGGCTCAACTTGTGCTTGTTGAGACCCCTTTCTTGAGTCCCTTGGGATTCCCACTGTCCGCCCCATTTCCAGCACATCTTCAGTCCAACAGGCGAGAGATTACAAACTTCCGTGTCATATAGCCATTCAGTATTCCTCATCCCATTCAGCGTTTTTCCTCCACCAAACAAGATAGACTGTGCTACTGTGGTATAAAAAGATATTTTGCACAGACGATATTTCAGACCTGTGTTAATATCTGATAATGATAATGTTTCTTTATTAGCCCTATACAATTTCTTGCTGTGTTTGTAGTGAGAAGAAGAACTGAAATTTAAACTGAAATTACTACTGACTATTTTGTGTGTGGGTTTGTTTTTTAAGTGTTTGTGGATAGAGGTCCCTTTTGATTGTGTTCTGGGGCTGGAAGTGCTGGAAGTCAGGGCAGGCTGATAAAGTCTGGGTGCGGTGGAGTGGTTGGACGACCTTGTTGTTCCAGTAGTTTAGATGGAAGAGTCATCAGGGCTACACTAGGAGTTGTGTAGAACAGAAGATCCAGAGACGTGTGTTGGGAGTAGGAGAGGGGGAGGTGGAATCAAGACCCAGGCAGGGTCTTGATTTGCGATGACTGACAGCTGTGTATACAATTATGATGCGCGTGAGGGTCTAACTGGTGGATCCATGTTTCTTGACCGCTGTGCAGTCCTCTCCACCTCATTACATTGCACCAGCTCATTGCAGCTGTCGGGTCTGTCGTGTTTGTGTCGATTGATTAGCAGCTGTGGAATCCATAGAGCACCTTGTTTTCACTGTTCGTGAGCAGTGTGGTCAACGGTCTGTATGCCAAATTATTGGTTTGTTGCAGTATTCCTCCTCTCCCATCGTGTTCTCATAACAGGGGTATCCACATCTGTGTGAACATTTTCTGTGATTTTTTAAATGTACATAGAAATTCACCCGCCTTTATTGGGGAATTTAATTACTGCCTAAGGCACTTTCCATGCACTGTATCGTTGTATCTGGGAAAACGATGGCCTGGAAAGAATGAGATGACAATTACACCTGCATTTCTCACATGCTGTTGATAAGCCGCTTGTCAGGTGGTATTTGACAAACTCTATATGTCCTATTATATTCTGTATAAGAAAAATCTGGATGCTTTCCAAACAGTTCATGTAGAATTGATTTTTGCTTCGGTGATTGACTTTTGAGAGGTAATGGAATTCATATCACTTTCTTTCATAGTCCAGTAGGTACCTCAGAACATTACTCTTTGTCCCCATTGTTTCTTCTGCATGTACTGTAAGTATTGAGTTAAACACTCATTATCCAACATAACTCATGTACAATATAAGTGCTTCTGATCTCGACAGAGTGATCTATATGCTTTGTTCTGATTACTAGATTGTGAGGGGGGACATTTGAGGTTTGTATACTGGAGGTCAGCATTTTGGTCATCTGATTTCCAAACTGGAGGAGCTGAACATAAGGATCCCTTGGATGTCAGAGCAAATTAGAAAATATACGTTTATCTTGAGATTCAAGTGATAATATTTGAGTGGTAGGATTTCAGTGCAGGCTTAATGGACCGTAAGCAGTATATTTAGTTTTTTTTTAACATAATGTGATAAAACGGTTATGGGAGATATGAAATCTCCCATCATCAGTGTTTAATGTCTTACATTGTACACTTGCTTTTTCCACAACATTTTCGGTAAATTAATCTGAGTTTAGTTTTTAATATGACCAGTTATTTATTTTTCAATTCATATTAATGCTTATATATTTTTTTTCCAGGCAGAAGCTGAGATTGATATTTTGAAGAAGCAAGCTGCTACAGCAGACAACAGTTCCTTTGTTAGCACTGAAGAAGTTAACTCCCTCAGGTCAGTATCCTTTGTGTTACAGTAATAACATTTATCACTCCACTTGATATGTAATAATGTATTCAATGAAAAGAGAGGAAATTGTCCTTTTTGCTGACATTTTTTGTTGAACTGATTTTAGTGGTACTCAGAGTTCAATTTGAAAATTGACTATCTTTCTAACCTAGGTAAATGGAGTATTCAAGATCGGGATGATGTAATTATACTGCGTATATAATGGTTTTCATCCCAAAAGGTCTCAAAACACTTTACAGTGTTTTATATCAGCAAGAACACACTTCATCCACCACTGAAGTACTGTGTAGCACCCACCTGGATGATGTGTGAAAACAGCTTCTCTCTACACAGCAGATCATGTAGAGAACTGCTTCACCGATTGAAGAGAAGTTTAAAAAAATATACTTGTGCAAGCCCAGGCTAGAATTTAGACCGGACACTTGGGTTAATATCCTCTGCTTTTATGAATAGTCAGGACCATGGCTAATGTTTCATCGAAAGGTTGTATCAAAAGGTGCCTTATATAACACAAATCCACGGTAACTATTTGGATGTTGGGAAATTCTGGACCACTGGGAATTTTCATTTACTATACTGGTTCACCAACATCTCTTCAAGCAGCCGCCTGGTTTTCATTAGACTGTTCGATCCTTGAAGTGTCATTTTTCCTCTTTCGTTTTTAAGGAGTTAGCACTATCACTTATCACTTCATCACCACATCCAACTTTTAACTTTGGACATTTCCATTTTTTATTCAATTTTTTTTTCATTTGTGGAAACTAATGTATTCTAAGTAACGCTCAGTTATCATCCAAGACTAGATTGTTTGTGTCAGAAGTACTGCATGTGAATCAGACAACAAACGGTATGTCTCTGTTTTTTGGAAAAAGTTCAAACCCAATGCTTGCTAACGCAATCTGAATGACAAAAAAGGTTTATAATGTTGTATTTTTTTAAAAAAGTGTATTTCTCAGTCACTCTTGACAGAAGATTTTTATCATCCATGAAGAATTACATCTAGGACTTAAATCTCAGAAGCTGCTCTTTATGACTTAATGTATGGTGTAGAATTATAGATTAGTATAATTTGATAAAAAAAATGTAGATTGCATTAAGGATAATTTAATACAGCAAGAACTCCAATGGAGAGCATCTCTGTTTTAATTTCCACCAAAAGACAGCAGCAGGCATGTGAAAGGTGGTTCTGAATGTGTGATTCATTGGTTAGAATGAAGTGCTGTAACATTCACCAAAGCATGTCCATTAATATTCACATAATTGCATTCATTTTTCATTGATGGTATTTAGATAATGGTATGCACAATGCTGTATACAATTACCAGCATTCTGCTCTCCCCCTCTTTAAGGTAATTTAACACTGTACATCACTAGGCCTAATTCTTCATGAATGGATCAGGATTTCGGCATGATCTGTACCCCAGAGAGACAAAACAATCTATGTGGTAGAAAGAAGTGTCCTTTTTTTCTAGTCTTTATGTGATCCTTACGATTTTGTGCCACGGAGAGCTCCATCAGTCCTTCACTGCTCAAATTGCCTGTCCAGCAGAGGAAGAGGATGGTGTCCGCACAGCCTTCCCTACTGTAGGCTTGAACAGTCACTGAAGGCCCCGCCATCCTCTTCCTCTGCTGGAAAGACAGCTCGAGCAATGGCCAAATCTGATGCATGCCACACACTG